TGTGTGTGTGTGTGTATATTATATATATATATATATATATATATATATATACAATTTTCTACCTTTATCATTATTTATTCAAGATAGATTCGTAGAGCCCTGGCTGGTGTTGCTCAGTGGTTAGAGTGTTGGCCAAAGGGTCATGGGTTTGATTCCCAGTAAAGAGCATATACCTGGGTTGTGGGTTCACCCCCCCCCAACCCAGATTAGGGTGCGTGCAGGAGGCAACCAGTTGAGGTGTCTCTCTCACATTGATGTTTCTCTCCCCCATTCTCCCTTCCACTCTGAAAAAGCAATGGAGAGAGGATTAACAACAACAAAAATAAGGTAGATGCCTAGCAACAGATTTTTCCTAGCAAGAGGATCAAAAGATAGAACCAGTTAAAATTCTGTTACCATTACAAACAGTATCTCACTGGTTCTATGGTACACACTTTTCCCCACTTTGCTACCTGTGAAATTAGAAGGCCACATATACCCCACGGGATCAAATACCACTGTCTGTCGGGCATCAGCCACTGACCTGCCGTCACTTCTATCTGTGGGGACTTGATGGTTGCACCTATGGCAACAGGGACCCTCTCCAGTTCAGTCAGCAAGCCTGTTAGGGACCATCTGAAGAATGATGGAGAGTCCTGGTTATTCTCTAAAAACTTCCCACTGACACTTCCTCGTATTTTGAAGAAAACAAGGGTCTTAAAATTTACAAAATGGGTTTTAGCCACTTGAAGCCCACACTGAAGGAAGGATATAACATTTTACCTCTGATGGCACAGAGGACAAACTTATGTAGAAAGGCATGGACATAACTCCCAGTGAAAGGGTGACACAAAGGAGTTGGACTCTGAATATAAAAAAGTTTGCTCACATTTTATTTTTTATGTATGCACTAGAATTATAAAATTTCAAATCTAAAGGAGTCTAAAATTAAGTATTAAATAAATGTTATAAATGAAAGAAATCATGTTGAAGTATTCAGCAGGCATTAAATCTTTGTGACCAAGTTCCATGTTAAGGAGAAGGGCATCTTTAATTCAGCAAAGCACACTGTGGAGCAGGGTCAGATTGGGAGGGCAGACTGAAATTTTAAACAGGGTGACCAGGGTCAGCCTCACTGAGAAGGCCACATCTGAGTAGATCCTGAGGAGGTGAGGGAGTTGCCATGTGGCTATCGTGGGAAGAGTGTTACAGGCAGAAGGACTTGACAATGAAACTCCTTTGGAGAGAACAGCATGGGAACATTGAGAATAAAAGGTGAGACTGTAAACTGGTTTATGTGTAGGGGCTTTTGACAACTGAATTAACTTTATCAATGAAATATAAGCTACACATTTCCTATTCACTATAACTATGTATTATGGTTTCACTTTTCACAGGTTCAGTTATTCATGGTTAACCATGGTCTGAAAGCATTAAATGGAAATTCCAGAAACAAACAATTCATGTTTTAAATTGTGTGCCGTTCTGCGTAGCATAATGAAATTTCCAAACTATAAAAGTTTCAGCCACAGTGTGTGGTAAGTGCTTAGTTAAGATGGAAAAGGCATTAAACTTTAGCATAGGTAAGTATGTACAGGAAAAAACAGGGTATACAAGGTTTCAGGCACCCACTGGGGGTTTTGGAACACACCCCACAGGGATAACAGAGAACTACTGTAGTTCTTTCTCCGACTTTCACTGTCATAATGTTAGGTTAGACTGAAAAGTGGCTTGAAGCTCTAATTTGGTTCATCAATTCAATCGTGTAAAAATTGCATAATTGTATGTTAATGATTTGAATCATGTGCCTGATGCCCCTTCACAGACATAATTTAATCAGTGAGGGTGGAAAGGGAGGGGGCTGACCCTGGGCACTGAGGTTTGTTTTAATCCCCCCTCCCCCCCGTTTTATTGATTTTTAGAGAGAGAGGGAGAGGGATAGATAGAAACCTCAATGAGAGTGAAATATCATTGATCGGCCGCCTCCTGCACACCCCCTATTGGGGATCAAGCCTGCAACCTGGGCATGCGCCCTGACCAGGAATTGAACCAGTGGCCTCTTGGTTCCTGGGTCGATGCTCAACCGCTGAGCCACACCAGCCAGGCAGCACTGAGTTTTATTACAGCTCCTGGTGATTCTCATATGCAGCCATGCCTGAGAAGCACGACTCTGGCATTTATGAAAAAGAGAAGGCTTTTCTCCTTCCTGCTCCCAAGTATCTGCTCGGTCTGCTCATCATCCTTGCTGCTCCTGTTCACTCCGTGTCATCACTACCTGGAACTCCAAAACCACAGACCCCCTCACAGAAACCTCGGGACCTTTCCGGCCACCCCACTGGAGGGGAAAGGTAGGACAGGGCACACTTCTTTGCCACCCATTCATGAGCTCCCACACCACCAACAAACGACGGTGTGGGTGTCAGGTGACGGAAAAGTTCATGTTAAGAGAATGACCATGCCAGAGGAACGGAGAGAGAAGAGGGGAGCAATGTGGCAATAGCTGCATGGCAAAAATTTTAAGAACAAAACTAGTATTAACTTTCATATTTGGCATTGTTATGGTAGAAAATATCCTGTCTTTCCAAATCTTGTTTCATTCATGTGTGCCTGGCACATTGTTGGCACACAACAAGTATTTGTTATAGGGATAAATTAATACATTCCAGTGGGCTGGACAAAAAAGAAATAAGCCCCAGCCGTCCTTCCCAATCCGCCTGATCTTATTCCCTGAGATGACAGCATTAACTTCCTCATCACCTGCCTCTCTAATACACTTATGCTGCTAGCTCTGGATGGATCGATGCTAGATCTTGCACACTCACTTCCTGCCAAGACAGAGAAAGATTTTACTAAATTAACCTAGGACCCTAAATGGTCTCTTCCTGCAACACCTAATCAGGAATATCACTGTTGTTAGCTTTTTCATTGATTACATACAGGGTGGGGTAAAAGTACGTTTATAGTTGTGAGTACCCCAGTTTATTCTTTTATTATTATTTATTAACTAGAGGCCCGGTGCACAAAATTCATGAACGGGAGAGGGGGAGCCCTCAGTCCAGCCTGCACCCTCTCCAATCCGGGACCCCTCGGGGAATTTTCGACTGCCGGTTTGTGCCTGCACTTTTAACAGATAACAGCTCCATTGTTGTTTCTTTTCATGCTTAAACCCATTGGAATTAGTAGGTATTCAAAGTGTGTATACATTTTTGGGGGACACCCTGTATATATCTAGTCAGCAGTGAAAGAAACCAACGGTGGATTTGGAACCCCCAGACAGGGAACCTCGCTCACTCCCCACATGTCTCCCCAATTCATTTTCCACCTTTGCAGGCAGCGGGAGAATCAATGTTTTCTCTCATTAACTCGTAAAAGCACATCCTGTCACCCGTTGCCCGGCAGGAGTGCGCTAGGCCCCACACGAGCGAGGCTCCGTCAGGGCAGCCTTCGCTCATGGGTGCTGGCACCCAAAGTGCACATTCCTCCTCTACAGTCGCCCCGACTATCCCACTGTTTCACTGAGAGGACGGAACTCCTCGCCTCCTCTGGGTTCGAGATCTTGAACGCTGACCAAAGGCATCTCAGCGAGGGCCGCCCGCGCCCACCAGGTGTGTCTGTCTGCACCTGTTCCCGCCTCAGCACCTGCATTAGCCCCACAGAGGTGATCTCCTCGCTGCACTGGCCTCTGCGGGAACAGGGCATCACCACTCCGCCCTCTCACTGTCATCTCACAGGTGCCCACCCCCAGAACCCAGACACTCTCCAAAGGACAAGAGCATGCTGGGGGCGGGGGGGGGACGTGCACACGTCCTGTGGGGGACACAGGCATGCTGGGGTTGATGAAAGTGTGGTGGAGGGGCTGGGGGGGGGGGAACTTGTGCGTGCCATGGTCCGGGACTGTTGCAGGTGCGTGTGGGTGACAGCACACTGGGGGACGTTCGCACACCAGGGGGGAGGAGAGGATGCACGCACCGGAGGCCTGCGGCTGCGCAGATCCACAAACCCCTGTGGTGCGGTCAGGAGGATGTCAGTCTGGCCCACCACAGTGGCTGTCCCTGTGATCCTGCACCTTCTGGGCCAGAAGGCAGGACTTGTGCAGCCACTCCTGGGCGCTGATGGCCTGCAGGCACTACTTCAGCTCGGCCCGCAGGCTACAGCCGCTGCCGTGGGGGGGGGTAGAGGCTGCCCTCTGCCAGCCCGCCTCCCCCGCCCACAGGCCTGGCCTGGAGCAGCCGGGGCGGGGCGGGACGCCTGCCTTTGTCACCTTGGCAGCCGCTGGGGCATGCAGGAGGCAATGAAGAAAGCCCAGTGTCCCGCCCGAAGGAAGCCAGGCCTCCCACCCGCTCCGGCCAGCTCTGTGGCCACCACCCAGAGGCCGGCTGGCTCCATGGCTCCAGCCGGTGCCGCCATCTTTGAGGCTATGGGTGCCGCCATCTTTGTTGCAGAGTGATGGTTAATTTACATATTACCCTTTTATTAGTATAGATTATTGTGTCATTTTCCATACAAACTGTAAACCTCCTTTTGCTCCACCCTGTCACCCTGTATATACTTAAACTCCTATTTCATGTTTTTCTACAAGCAGTATCTCTTCACTTTGTCAAATAAAAAATATTGTATCATCTCTCTTGTTCTTGTTTACATTATCATGGTCAACATTTACAAACTGTTTGTAACCATAAATATTGGATTCTTGCTTTGTCCACAGTTGTACTAGAAATGTGAAAATCAGTATCTACATAAACATAGCTCCCGGGCCAGGCACCTGTAGTCTATGGCTATACTACTCGGTTTTTATATACTTTTGTCTTATGCCCCTTCCCTTACTGGACTCCCAACAGCCATTTTACTTTTGCCTTGAATTTTATAACATCCTAAGAATAGGTTCTTCCCACATTTCTGGGATCTGACCACATCTACTGACTCTTTTTTCTACAGGAAGTTCTCTTATGACCCTGTGGTCACTTTTCAATTTGGATGGGTGGTTCTCAGGCCTGCGACACAGTTGGCATCCTGGGACTTACCTTCATTGCTTTTCTGAGTTAGTTCCACAGTTCATAGAGCCAACCGGTTCCAATTTCTTGGATAACTTTCTTGTTTTCTCAAGTAACATCCTAAAAAAGAGTATTTGGGAGACAAAGCTTTCTCAGTTTATATTTCATTTCCTTTTTCATTCTGCCCTATATTTTATCAATAGTTTTGCTTGGTACAGAATTTCAAGTTATTGATTTCCCCGTGGAACTCTCTGGGTATTGTTTATCTCCTAATATCCAGTCCTGGTGAGGAGAAGCCAATTGCCAGCTGATTCCTATTCCTTGGTGGAGGATCTCTATTTGCTCTCTGGAAGCTTTCAGAATCTTCTCTTTATTCTTGCCATCCTTACAAGTTCATGATATGCCTACAAGTAGACTTTTTCTGTTTTCCTGCTCAGAACTTAGGTCTTATACAATTACTAGAGGCCTGGTGCATGAAATTTGTGCACAGGTAGGTCCCTAGGCCTGGCCGGTGATCAGGGCCGGGCTGGCCTGGGGCCTGCGCGCTGGGGGCAGCTCCTGTGTTGAGCCTCTGCCCCCTGGTGGTCAGTGAGCATCATAGCGACCGGTCGTTCTGCCATTGGGTCAATTTGCATATTAGGTTTTTATTATATAGTATACTTGTGTCTCCCGTTATTCTGAAAATTTTTTCTTGTAAGTTTCATCCAACCATTTTCTCTATTTTCACTTTCTGGCACTTCTTTTCTATGTTAAAACCTCCATCGATTCTGTAGGACTGACCCTGTCATATATATTTTTTTTGTTTCTTGACTATTATTCTCTCCTTTTCTCTTGTACTAATGCAACTAGAGCTTCCAAGTGGACTTTGCAGGCAAGGAGACAGAGAAATGAGCGGCAACTGTTGGGAAGGAAGTCTTCCTCTATCCTAAGCTGCTGTGGCTGGGCTAACAATCAAACTGGCATGAGACAGATTAGCAAGCAGATAAATCAACGTTTCATAACATGTGCACCTCCTGTATGCACGGAGAGACCGGGAAACACTGAGGAAGTCACCAAATGGTGGAAGTCATCACCCTAAATACCACCTTCAACTAAGGACAGAAGAAGCTGGGGTGGAGTCAGGTGTGGGGCTACTGTTATGGGTTAGCTCAGTGAGATAGACCACTGACTCAGAATTTAAATTTTAAGAGCCTTTATTAAGCTGGCCAGCTGACTGCAGCCGCATCCCTCCCGTAGGAGCATCACAGCTTGCAGTGCTGACCGAGAGTACAGCAAGACCTTTTATCTGCAACACTACAAAGTATTTTTTTTTAAAAAGAAAAAAAAACTGCCAAGCGGTTCATTAGCTATTCCTGGTACTGGCAGGGTAAAAAGTTTACATAAAATTTACGAGCAGGGTCACACCTGGCTGGGTTTAATCATAACACATTGCTTTTCTAGTGAAATAATTAGCAACTTTTCTCTCCCATGGTCCCTGCCCCTCAGCCTACTCAATAATTCTTCTTCGTCAGGGCCCTGCCCCTAGCACATTCCCTACTGGTCTTATGCCCGAATCAAATCTTTGATTCAGCGTCCTCCTCTAAGATTCTGGAGTTACATTTTATTCACCGTGGTGGGCCCAGGGAAATGAATTTAAATTCTAAGCAAAGCCACAAGCAGAACTTCCCTTTCTATGGAAGAGCCAGCCCTTTGTGCGCTTGCTGGCGGCAGCCTTGAAAACTACAGTTCTATCCAATCAAAAATGCCCCTGGCATGGCATTTGGTGTATCTAGTCTCTGACCTACAAGGCCAGACAGCCAAGTCTATCTCCCCCATTATTCAAGCAGGCTAAAATGGGCTAGGAAGCAAACTTATCTTCTAGAATAAGAGGCCGTCCAAAGAACAGCAGAGAACTCCAAACAGTAGTCCTACAGAATAGGGGTTTTCCTTCACAGCTACCAGGAAAAGCACAGTGAACAGGTAAGGTTGCTAGGGATGAAGTTCCTACTTCTCCACTGACAGAGGGCAGGCGGGGACTCGAGCCCTTGCAGAAGCACATGTGCTTTTCTAATTTTAATTAATTAAATTAGAGTGAGAGGAAGGGAGAAGAGCAGAGACAAAAACATCGATGTGAGAGCAGAACATCACGGCTTTCCACATGTGCTCCGTGTGCCCCCACCGGGACTCAAACTGGCAACCTTTCCGTGCACAGGAGTCACAGCAGCCAGGGATATTTATTTATTCTTCAATCCTCACCTGAGGCTATGTTTTGATTGATTTGAGAGAGAGAAACATCCACCTGCTGCCTCTCCTAGGAGCTCAACCTGGGGTGAAACCAGCAACCCTTTTTTTTTTTAAATTTAAATTTTTAAAAAATGCACATTTATTTACCTTTTTAGAGAGGCAGGGAGAGGGAGATAGAAACAATGAGAAACATTGATTGGCTGCCTCCTGCACGCCCCCTACTGGGGATCAAGCCTGCAACCCAGGCATGTGCCCTGACCAGGAATCAAAGGGCGACCTGCAGGTTCATAGGTCAACACTCAACCACTGAGCCACACCAGCCGGAACCACACTCTTTTAAATTCACACCTGAGGATATCTTTTCCACTGCATTTCAGACCCTGGAAGGAACTGAGCTAAGAACATCACCCGCTGTCAACCCTCCACGACAACCAGGGCAGGAAGCTAACCTGCAACCCAGGTTCCTGCCCTTGACCCAGGAATCGAGCCTGGGACCTTCTGTGCTCGGAGGACGCTCTAACCACCCCACCCACATGGGCCAGGGGCGAACCCGCCACCTTTGGGTGCTCCCACCAACCAGCCAGCCACCGGCTGCGCCCCCTGCGGGGCGACGCGTGCTTTCAGGGGTCCCTGCTCCCGCGCTGTCTCCCAGGTCGGCTGGTCTTGACGTCGCGCAGCCTCGCCAGCCCCCTCCGGCTCCCTGCAGGCGGCCCCGCGGGCTCCCCCACCGTGCACACCGGCCTCGGACCGGCGCGCGGGCCTCACCTGTCCGCCCGCACCCGCACCCGCACCCGCACCCGCACCCGCACAGAAGGCGGCCCTCCCCGCGGCGCACGGCCGGACCGTGGGCTGCGCCCGTCTCTCCCGTCGGGCGGCGAGGCGGGGCCCTGGAGGGGCGACGGGAGGGCACCCTTTGCGCCCGCACTCTGAGGGCCAGGCGCCCGCGGGGCGGGGGGAAGGAGCCCCCGCGAGCACCTGGGGTCGCGTCATCCGGGCCTGCGCCCTCGCACACCCGGGGCCCCTCCCCACCAAAGGGGCCCGCGGCCCGCGCCGCCCGTCACCCCGCAGCCCCGCCCCCAGCCTCCCCGCGGCCGCCGGGTCGGAGCAGCGGCGGGCGGGGCCCACA